TTCTGTGTTTCCTTAACTGAATCCGTCATTTTTCGTTAACTATTACTTCCAGCCTTTATAGTCTCTTGTTCCAAACACATTGTCAATGTTGTTTTAAACTGTGTTTAGGTTAATAAGCATTTTTTCTCCCTCTCCCATATATTTCGTTTCGTTTCGCAAAATAGAATAAGCATTTGCACATAATCGTCCAATATCGGCTGGTTATTAGAGGCCAAAAAACCTGCCATGGGCAGGTGTTCCTAATGCCCGCCTTTGGAAGAAATCGGAATGCCAAGACAAGACAAGACAAGACATTTATTATGATAATATTGCCTGCACAACTTCTTGGCACGCAGTTAGCCAAAACTGCTAGTCGAGGCGTGCCAAATTAATTCTATTCCAAATCAGATATTTACACCTGCCAACTAAAAGTACATTATGCTCCATTATAAGGTAGAGCTTATTTGCAAATTCATCCTTTCAGGAAAGCACTAAAAATCTGCAAAAGGCGATATTCTGGATATCACAAATCGCCCTTCGACTGTTTTACTGCACCACAAGGGAAATGAGAAAAACGGAATAAACGAAATGGCTCATGTACGCGTTCACTTAATCTTCATCGTCTTGTTATTTCAGTTCTCTTTTGAGCCGTGACACTCCCCTTTTGTGTGGTTGTTTATTACCGTCAAAGGAAAAGAATATATTTTAGTAAGCATGCTGAAGCATAAGCCTGGTTGAAAAAAAAATTTCCTCTTACAAATTGAGCACGCAAACCGTAAAGGTGTCGCAATAGTTCATTAATCTCATTTTACTTACCACCTGCTGTGATGCAAGCCAGCGAACAGAAAATTCATTATCAAACTTTTAGTATATTGCCGGAAACTTGTTATGAAAATTCATGAACTTTTATCCCGATCAAGTATTGAGCAGTACCCTCCCTAATAAGGCGCATGTAAACGATGGGGCATGGGAGAAGAGAGAATAATTATTCTCTCATTTGTCCCATATATGGGCTAGATAGGTATGTGCCGCCCGGATGGGGTATGATTTATGATGGGCTCGAACCTTAAATACGGTGCCATTTTAACCGAGTTTGGCCTTGTGTTCCCGGTTTGTTATATTTTTACTTAGATACTTGTAGGGTACAAAAATTGTTTGAGCTGTTCAATTTGAATTTCCAGCTACACGAAAAAAAAAAAACATTTGTTAAAACTGTGCTATCCGCTAGAGTATTAAGAAAAAGATATAAATAAAGGTTAAGGGGTTAGTATTAAACTCTTATATTTTTTCAATTTTGCCCCTTGAATAGGGTGTCATTCAAATTAAAAGACCCTGAGCGGCTCACACCCACCCAAAATTTATGGGAATCCCCCTGGGGGGTATGCTTAACAATAATATTCCGCGAACAGCTTGGATACGACAGATAATCGAGTGTTTTCATATAAGCTTACAGATCCTTTAGGATTTCTTGTCACATTTACCTATATATGTAATTACCGTTAACCATTCCTGTTCCTAGCCTGCAGTGCAGGCGTATTTGGGCGGGCGAAAGCTGCTTGTTTATCTGGTTTATGTTCGTATTGTTGTAACCGAGCAAAACATTCGCGCGCCCGAAGAAAACACCTGTTCCCCCCCCCCGGCCCCACCTATCCTGTTGCCCCCTTTTTCATATTCTGTTGGTGTGAGTGATTAATAGACGTTAGAAAACTAGTAAAGTAAATAAATGAATAAATAAATAAATACCGTGAATCAACCAAGGATTCGTTTACCTCGGTATTTTTTTATTTATTTATTTATATTTTTTTTGAAGAAGTGTCCTATTTACAATACATTCATTTGTACACACATAACCTATTACATTACTACAAGGCAGGAGATCAAGCAAGCTCTGTAGAGCTTTTAGTAAACTGCAAAACAGTCGGTTTTTTCTCAGAAATCAGTAAAGAAATCGGTAAAGCGTGGCGTACTGAGTCTCACGCGCGCGAGGCGCGAGAGGAAAAAAACCGTCTCTCCCCAGTCTCGCTCTCCGTGGTTTTCGGCCTCGTTCCAGACCTTCTGTTTGACTGCTCGCCCGTACTTGGATACGCAAAAATAAGGACTGTTTTGCAGTCTAAGCTTTTAGACGATCTCCTCTTTATTCTAAGCAGATGTAAAGAATAAAGAAGGCGGACTCAGTCCTACTTTGTGAACTGGTTTAAAAACATATTATACGAACTTATGTTTCTTTTTTTTTTTTGAGGGAAGGTCATTCCATATAATTGCTCCGTTAAAGCCTATAGAATATTTGCCATGATTTGTTTTTCTAAATTCAATATGCATGTTCGCTGCTGATCGCGTATTGTAGGAATGTATACTTTATTAGATTTGAAAAGGTTATCTAAGATTGCTGGTAGCTTGTCCTGATGATGTGAGTACATAAAAACGGCTGTTAGATATGCATTTAACTCGAAGATGTTAAGTATTTTCACGGACTTGAACAGTGGTGCCTCGGTACCTCGGTATTGCCTATTACCATCTTGCTAACAAGAACGAATAGAATCATCGTTTTATCGGCCAATGAATGTCTGACCTGAACAGACTGAACTGTGGTTTTCACGAGGCTAAGTCTTTCCATTAAAACCTGAGATGGAATGTTCGTTCAATGAATCACTTGACTCTTCGTGTGGCAATATAAAGTCCCCATGGCGTAGCGTGATGACAAAACGTGATGATTTAAGTCATTTTACTAGTCACGTGATTGATTTTTTTGACAGACTAAATTGTACAGGTTAATTAGGGTCTTATTGATAAATGATAAAGTGAATGTTTACGACTCAGTTACAATAATACTATGGACATTCCAGACAGTTATTTTGAGAGCGAAGGGTTCAAAATATTCACTATAAATCAGGTAATTGACTTAACCCAATGCTTCTAATCTATTAACTCTGATACTGTTCGTCGACGATACCAATGTGTTCATGTCACATAAAGATCTTCAGGGACTATCTTTCAGATATGTTAAACTTGGAGATAGACAAACTGTCAATCTGGTTTAAAGCCAACAAGCTTTCCCTGAATCTTAAAAAAAAAACTAAATTTTTGGTCTTTAAACCAAGACAGAAACGTACAATTTGTAATATTCAAGTAAGTATAGATAATCACTATTCAGTAAAGTAAAGGAGACAAATCAGTTCTAGGAGTAATTTTGGATAAAAACCTAAACTGGAATTCGGAAATTTTGTAAATTAAGTTGCGAAGTCAATCGGTATAGTATCTAGATGCAGCTTCTTTCTTCCTAAAACGTCTCTACGTATCCATATTTATCCATATTTTCACGGGCTTCGGCCTGCCTTATTACATGAAATTTTCGCGGCATTGTTTATTTCGCGATTTTGAGAAAATTTTATTTGAATCACTTTAATTTCGCGTTTTTGAGTACAACAAGTTTCATTTATAGGCAGTGTTATTTAAAGTGAAATGCTTTGATATTTCATTTGTGTTTAGTAATAAATAGATCATCACATGGTCGCTTGGAGATACGAAATTTCTCTTCGAGTGGTGAATAATATTTCACGAGTGAGCGCAGCGCGCGGCCATGTCATCGTCTATTTATCTCCAGGGGAATTTTTTGTATAGCCAAGGCCTAAGTAATGACTTCAGCAAAAAACTAAAACAGCACCTAAAACAGTTACACTGCATATCCTCATTACAAAGCCCCTTTAAACTAAGAACGTCATCTCATGATCATGGCCGCTTTGTTGTGTTAGGAGCCCATTCCTTCTTGGTTATCCAGGCTCGTATGCACTAAGGACACTAAAACTAACAAAATCTGTGGAGTTTCAGAAACTAAAAGGAATGTTGAGAATAGGTTAAAACAACAGTCTCCAGTTGTTGAAACGTCGGCTAGCGCTATCTAAGGGATAAATCACTATACAGCGGATTTTATAAGTAGGGAAATCAATTGCGCCATCCACTGGATAGCGGTATCCTCCTTTTGAAAAACTGGGACCAGAAGATCAGACCAAAAACTAAACCAACATTTTCAGTCAGTCAGTCATGAATTTGCGTAGTCAAATTTTCCATGGCAAATGAACCAGCACAAACGAAAAAGAATCAACCAATATCATGCCAATATTGACAATGGAAAAATCAATGACACGCTTGAGGAAAGTTTTCTAACCGAGCCGAATAAGGTCAGAGAGTAATCGATACTTTTCTTTTGTAACTTGCCGATGCCAATTCACAGTCCTATCCGATTTACTACACTTTCTACAAAAAAAGACGCGAAATGGATGTCTATTTTTGGACCATTCAGACAGCCAATCAAAATGTAACAGCTCATCAAATCGTATTGGGAAGTTAACAGCTGTAATAATATCTGCAACAAATCATTTCAATTTTTTTCAGATCGATACCTGGAGGAAGTTTAACACGGTGCAGCTCAAAATTTTACGTTGCTGAAAATAACCGTGAGCTATCAACTCGTGACAGTTTTAGTCAGAGTTAAGTCGGATTTAACAGTGAATTGCTTTAAGATAAATTCCAGGCGGCTAGGCCGTTTTTATATCAACCATTACAACCCTGTGATTGCCTAAAATAAAAAGGCAACGAAACATGTGTCAAAAGACCACAAACCATTCCTATATTTTCTTTCAGTTCATTTAGGTCACTGCTCTCCCGTCTTGGTGGCAAGCCTGCCTAAAATTCCGCTTTCCCTCACCCAAGAATGCCAAACATTGCCAGACCTACATACAAGTACACACGTAGTCTTCCGCCAGTTTTGAAAAAAAGGAAGTTGATGGTTTTGATGAGATGAAAGACAAGTCGCTCGCATCTTGAATGGCATGATTCCCCAAGACATAATATCTCTAGTATTTTTATTAATACCTATAGCAAATCAAGAATGAATGCGGAGTCTTTCGGAGTAAACAGCATTATTGAGATTTAGACAAACTAAGAAGTCGATACAGACATATTTATTATCCGATTTTCATTGTCATCCAATATAGTAAGTAGAATATCCAACCTATGGCGTGGGTGCCTCCTAAAATTTACATGCTATTTTACATATGCAAAATATTATATCTATTTAATCCTCCAAGTTTAATTATTGTGTCGAAATATGTTTTTAAAACGCATCTTGAACAGTTCAGTGTGTTATGTTTGCGGTGTTCTATCTGGTTGCTTTAATCAATGCAAAACACATCAAGCGTTCGTGAAATTTGAAATACGCCAGTCATCTGCTGAACCGGAACGGATCTATATAGTATTCGTGTTTGTCATGATAAAAAGCTAAGGGAATATACATGTTATAGCTGCTTTTAATACCTACGTATTGAGCTCTTTCCGAGACATTTTACTCCACACCACAGGGGTTTTACTCGTTGATTGCCAGCTACGTGTACGAGTTTTGTTAACAGATCTTGACAAAATGACAGAGAAAAGCCGGTCCTTAAGACGCAACGACGTCGTTCAAAACATACTCAACAAACTTGATGCTACGGTAATTTGCACTCAGTGTCGTGATGTTTTCAAGGATCCTAAGCTGTCGGTGTGTTTGCACAGCTTTTGTGGTAACTGTTTGGAGCAGTTATGGAATCATCAGTCGTCAAAGCTCATTTTTAAGTGCCCGGTATGCCAAACAGAAGCGACGGTACCGGAGGAAGATCTTAAACCATCGACGAAAATGCCGAACTCGCCGTCAAATTTTCACCTGAGTAGAATCCTAGATATTTACAAGGCAAAGACCTTGAAGGAAGCAGATGGCGTCTGCGACAACTGCAAAGACACAACAAAGTTGGAAGCTTTCTGTTTCGACTGCGATCAGTACCTTTGCCCGCCGTGCTCTAGTGCGCACGCTCAAATGAACGTGAAAAAGAAGCACCGCGAAGTCAAACTTAATGAATTTGAAAGCAGCCACTACGAAGCGTTATACAGGCGTCCCATCTACTGCCAACATGAAAGAAAAGATTTGGAAAGCATAGAGTTCTATTGCCCGGAATGTGATGTCTACATGTGCGGCCTCTGTAACATTATTGACGAGGAATATCACGCAACACAAGACATTCAAGATGTGGCAGACAGAAGTAAAGTCGCGATGGAGGAAAAAGCGACTATTGTACGCGGAAAAGCTCGGGAGATTCAGACGGGCATTGAAAACACTGAAAATCGCATCGCGGAAATCGATAGGTGCATCGATTTGCTGAAAAACGAAGTGGATGAGAAAGTCTCTTATCTCGTAGGAATCCTCACGAAGCATGGCGATGAGATGTCAAAGATGTTGGAAGAAATCCGCAACGAAAAGAAAGGAAAAATTCTGACACAGAAGAGCACGCTAGAGTCTCTTTCAGCCCAGACGAATAGTTCACTTGAATTTGTGGATTCTCTAATCGGCAGGGAATCTGCTCCCGAAATTATGGTTCTAAGAGATCGCGTGATCTCTCGGCTGGAAAGTTTGGGTGATTTGATCATTGACACGCGACCAGTAGAGAATTCAGCCGTAGAGTACATTCCGAATCCTTCGCTGGTGAACACCCTCGAGACGATGTCGCTTGGTCAGATCGTTGTCAGCAGTACTGACCCGTTGTCGTGCTTCGCAGACGGCGAAGGACTCAGAAAAGCCTTTGTGGGAGAAGATACGTCTTTCGCGGTGACAACTCGCGATATGAATGGTGACGTGTGTTATAGCAGTGCAGATCACGTCACGGTAGAAGCAAAGTCTAACAACAACTGCGGAGAAGTAATCACGGTTGACGTTAAAAGCTCCGAAGATGGACACTACGAAGTAACGTACGTTGCCAAAGCGGTTGGTACTTACGGCTTGGAAGTAAAAGTTGGTGGCCAGCACATCCAGGAAAGTCCTTTTGAACTGGTCATCAAACCACCTGTCATGCTTCCTTTCAAATCTTTCGAGTCCATGACAGGAGCAAACGGTCTCTTCACCCAACCCAATGGCATTGCCATCAGCAGTATCGGAGACATTGCGGTCTCAGACACTCAAAAACACTGTGTCCATTTGTTGAATTCAAGCGGGATGAGCAAAATGGACTTCGGAGGGGAAGAGCTGAACTATCCCGTTGGCGTTGCCTTTGACATCACTGAGAAAAACGTCATAGTCGCCGATAGAGACAACCATCGCATTTTGGTTTATAACGCGAAGACAGGCAAGCTGGTTCGAAAGATCGGCCGTCGGGGCAGCGGCGAAGGTCAGTTCGACGGACCCTCCGGAATCTGCGTAGATGGCGAGGGTCGCATCATAGTCGCCGACTGGAACAACCATAGAATCCAAGTCTTCTCGCCCGAGGGAATTTTCTTGTTTAAGTTTGGAGACACGATTAAAAGCAAGCTGAAAAAGCCTCGGGCCGTTACTTTCTGCAACGTAAGGAAGCGCTTTGTGGTCTCCGACACTGGAAATAATGTCTTAAAAGTTTTCGGCCCCAAGGGAAACTTTCTGCAAACCATTGGAGCACCGGGCGCCAAGAAAGGAGAACTGTATAGTCCACGGGGAGTTATTGTGGACAAGTTGGACAGAATCGTAGTTTGCGATTTTGACAATCATCGCGTGCAGTTCTTTAGATTCGATGGAACTTGCCTGAATTCGTTCGGTGCTAAAGGAAAGTCGCTGGGACAGTTTAATCACCCAATGGGTGTCGCGTTATTAAAGGATAATCAAATTGTTATCAGTGACTGGGGAAACGATCGTATTCAAGTATTCTCCATGGGCAACCAAACGAAGGTATCACTATTCACGGAACACAAGAATTCTACATTGTAGAATGAATTAACTCCAGACAATTTAAGTTTTGTTCACTTTATCACTACCTTGTACTTGTCGCTGCAGCAACTCGAACGTCTTGGTCAATTCAATTGAGTTAATTTGTAAAATAGTCCATTAGAAGGCTGCCATTTAGCTGTTAAAAAATTGAGTTTGTTTTAAGAATACAGAGAAACAAATTATTTGTTTCTTCGCTTAGTCACAGCAGTGCCTGATGCAGATAAGTGCACTGCGAACTATACAAATTTGGTACAGTTTACGTGAACTGTTTTTAACTGTCTTCAATTTTACGTCCCCAGATTCATGTTTTTATAAAGATTTTTGTCTCATCGGTTTTTCTTACTTTGATTTTAAGAGCTGAATGGAATAGAGAATATTTACCAAGTGCGGTGCGAAATACATACTTTCAAAGTGAATTCCTGCAATGAAGTATTTTATAGTTCAAAAAGAAAGAGAGGTTTTTTAGATTTAGACAAAATTAGATACATTTGGTAGTTTGATCATTTTATATGATGAAACTTTGAAGAAGCACTCCTTATTGTGAAGTATTCTATTTGTTTTGTGAATAAATTTCGTTAGTAAACTGAATTGTAGTAACCAGTGCAGTAAAATGAAGTCTATTAATTTTGTGTGCTGTTCTCAGTGGCGTAGCGTGAGGTTTTGAAGGTGTACGCACGGAAAGAAAGGCCCGGGGGATACTCTCTTATATAAGCCATATAGGTATGTGTCGTAGGGTTTTGTGGCCTTTTTGGTCCGGTATACACTTTGCCAATTTTGGTCTGGAATCGGGTATAGTTTGGGAGGGAACTACCGGAGCGTATAAAAGCATTTATAGTTTCAGAGAAAGAAATAGACATATGCGAATTCGAAATGCGTTTGGAGAAATGTCTTTTGTGCTCTAATCTAAGTAATTATGACGTAATTTCTGCTTAAAAGCCAGGTCTGAAAACGGTCTGAAATAGGGGTCAGGATTTGGCGAACCGGCCCGGGTTGCTCGAATCACGGTTAGTGCTAACCAGCATTAAATACCATGGAAACCTATACATTTTGATACCTCTTAACCAATGGTTAGCGCTAACCAGGCTTCGAGCAACCGGCCCCCGGTTGGCACACCCCCACCAAGAAATCCCAAGAGTACCCTTCCGGGAAGAAAGGTTGGACCTTCGAAGGTACTGCAAACTAGCTATAGGGGGTCTAGGGGCATGGTCGGCCACGGACATTTTTCAAATGTAGGAGTTCAGAAATGCCATTTCCGGCGTTTTCGCAGGGCATTTTCAGTAAATAGATACGAAGGAAAATGCAATAATAAATTAGTTGTTTTATTTTAATCTCTTGAAGTGTTATCAGTAGAGTGCAAAAGGTAAAAAGGATGACATCAAGGAGGTTACAAGCAAAGGGCGAGATGTTTACCCTTCAGACGGGTAAAAACACCACTATAATGAGAAAGAGTTATCAATCATCCCGATTTAATGATAAAAAGGCTTTAATTTGAGGAACATGAAAAATATATATTTTCCAGATTTTAGCTGTACTCAAAAGCGTATGTGCGTATAAGGACGCTATGCCCCTGGTTCTATGTTGCACGGCTTTTAGATATATTGACAATATGCTTTTACCTCTATCTGTGGTTTGATCTGTCGGTGTACGTGCAAAACTTTGAGTCAGCTCCGCAGTTCATCATTGCACGAAATATTGTGAGGTATACTCGTGCTCAGTCATTGCAATCGATAATCCACACTCAATCATTTCAGGCCATTAAACCCTTTGATAGTGACTGGTTTAATATGTTGACATGAAACATGTAAAAACTCTTAAGCCAGTTGTTTCTATATAAAAAAAAAATTCGACCTTCGACATCAACACGCCTTTTTTGCCCTTCAACCTGTTTTTCAGCTACGATTGTGAAAAGCCACCAAGCACAGAGAAAAGGGAACTAAAGACAACCATCGTTCTAAAACTTAATTGAAGCACAATGAAGTTAGATAACTAAGTGTCGTAAGTAGGACTAAATGGCCGTAGATATAAGTTAGCAATATAGGTTTTTACACTCTGAACAAACTGCAACTTGTGAAATTTTAAAACTATCATCCAAAATACATCTGTTTTCCTTCTCCATCAACCCGGGTTAACTTTTCCCTTCTAAACATGATATGCAACAAAATGGTAACCCTTCAGGCTAAATGTTAAGCTTATGGTTAATGTCTATGAACGGCCCGAGTTGTTTTAGCTTAATTCTTTTTTGTGCTAGCACTGTTTCAAATCTTAGCATTCAGCATTCGTGACTTGAATAAAATGTCCTTCCATTTGCTGATAAACAGATCTTTTATATTGCACTTTTATATTGTACCTACCATGCTTGCACTTTCGTGCATGCAAAAACGCATGCCCATCTTTGTAATCAGTTTAATCCGTCTGCCAACGAAGAAAAGTTCTAACTGCAAAGACAAGATTAGCCTGTACACAGACGTTGTTTTATTAATCTTTTCATTCTTTTCGAAAAATCGGTGAGCGCGCTTCAATTTTCTTCTTCCTCCACCCATAACCCCTTGCGCTGGCGGTCAATAAATCGCCCTCGGTTTTTCGCGCGTTCAACGGTTTTCGAACAGAAAATAGAGGGTCTGTGAACAGGCAGCCAAGATAAGATTCCTGATTGGAGGGAGGAGTAGGAAGGGGTTAATTGACTACAGTATACAATCGCGGATCTTATTTATGACGAGTGAGTGGCTCAACCCAAACCAATATATAGGCTATGAATTACAAGTCAAGTGCAAGTGCAAGTTCAGTTTATTTCCCTCGATATACATTTTGACTAATGCTAGTTTACAAACTTTACAGGTTAATTACTGGAAAATGTTGCTATACAATTAATATGAAAGTTTGAGTATGATGGCCAAGTGAACCATTAGGTTTTCTAGTTGGCCATCGTAACTGCCAATTACGTTTAAAATAAGTACAGGCGATGAACCAGAAAGAGCAAAATTAAATAAATAAGTAAGAACATAATAATAGAGAAGAAAAGAAATAATTAATAACAGTTAATAACAATTAAACAAAATACAAAAGATTTATTTACAAAAGATTTATTATTTATTAAGTCATAATTAAACAACTTATAATTTTGCAACGTTGATTTATTTTATTGCCTTTATTAACTGTTCCCTTCATTGGATGTTGTAAACGCCACACCATAAAAGTTAACAAAGTCAAAACAAGCATTCGTGGCAACAAATTAAAAACATACGTTATTTATTCATTTATAATAATAATAATAATATTTATTGCTTTTATTACGCATTACAACATTAAAAGATGTGATTAAATGTGCATAACACTGGAATAAGACTAAAACAAAAGCTATATTTCATACTCTCTATATACTAAAGCTTAATCATTTGTTAAATTTCCTTCCTAATAGGTAATTTAGCATAACTCATAACAAGTAAGAAGTAAAAAGAGAAGATAAAGGTAGAAAATATAAACCTGCGATAGCTCAAGACAGGGCGCTATAGGCCTTTTTAAAATAGTGCGTTCTAATGAGTCTCTTAAACTTATCAAAATCATTCTCTTTCTTACTATAGTCCGGCAAACCGTTCCAAATCTTTGGAGAAGCTGCAGTAAATGATCTGTCCCCAAGAGTGCATTTGAACTTAGCGCTAGGGTCTTGCAAAATAACGCCCACATTACTCCGCAGGTTAGAGCGAGAACATTGTTTAATATGTATGAGATTACCGACTTAGATACGCTGGCCCGAGACTGTAAATAGCCTTGAAAGAGATCACAGCGATTTTATAGCAAATTCGGAACTTCACCAGCCCCAATGCAGGGCAAGGAGCACCGAGGTAATATGATAGTAACTGGGTGTATGGGTGATAAGTCGCGCTGCGGAATTCTGAAGACGCTGCAAGATGACAGCTAGCACACTATAGAGAGGACCGTTGCAATAATCAATGCGTGCCATGATCACGCCTTGTTTAAGCAATTTGGTGGAGGTAGGCGTCAAGAACTTCCTTATTTGTCTGATATTATGCAGGTGATAGTAGACTGAATGACAAGTCTTGTTTACAGTGTATCTGTTCTGTCATCTTAAGGTTAACGTCAAACCACAAACCAAGGTTGCGGACGGCAGAACTTACGATTAACACTGATGCTTGACCAATCTCTAGGTGTGCAATACTCACTTTATCAAGTTGTTGCTGAGTACCAATTGGAATGATCTCGGTTTTGTCTTCATAAGCTTTAGCTGGTCGGCCGCCATCCATGCCCTAATGTCTTCAATACATCCTTGCACAGCATCCACGGTTTCAGCTAGTCTCGTTGTCCCCAGAATCCGGCTTATAAGATAGATACACTATATACTACTACATGAGAAATGTCTGCAATTTGATTGGCTTAGAGCAGTGGTATTTCAGCTTAATTTGAAAAACCTACATGTGAAAATTTCAAACTTTTTTGCGGGTAGTAGTATAAACAAATAATAGCATTATTTGTACGTGATATTTGGCATAAATAGCGCTCGTGATATTTCAAAATTGTCTCAAATTTCACTCACCTATAACGGCTAGTGAACGTGAAATTACGAGTGACAATTTCGAAATACAACCACAAATCATGCTATTACCTATGCAAATGCCGTATAAAGTTCCTATATATGAGTGCACTTCAGCCTTTTTTGTACGCGTTCAGGGAAAATGTTGCCTTGTGAGTCAAATATCAAGAAGAGATCACGCCTTTATGCTTGCTTGAATTAAGGCGTGGAGTTGGGGGGGGGGGGGAAGGCAACAAAGGTTTTAACAAATGATCAAGTTGTCTACAGTCGAGGATCTTTACGAAGAGTTTTACTTCAACATACAACACCGTGAGGCCAACTCATTCACTGACCACTAACCAATCAATGAACATCAAAGAAAATTTTGGATCAAGTTAGGCCTTCTGGGAAACTGCCCACCTACGCCTACCCTAACTCAACGTTAACGCTTACTTCTCACTTAGGGCAAAATATTAGGGTTAGGGAAGGGGTAGGTTGGAAACTTCCCAAAAACCTGAATTGATCAGTATCTGCATTCTTCGCTGTATTGCAATTGCCTCTTCACAAGAACCGCCAAGTATCAGGTGAAAGGACAAAGTGCACTTAAGTTTAGAGCAGATAAGGTTGTGGATAATTAATATGAGCCATCATTATACCAAATATGATGGCTCCGCCCCCTGAAAGTAACCAATATAGGCTCTAAATGTGATCATTATCTAGCTGTATAAAGGCAACAGGGTCAACCCTTCTATCTCACTAGCACTGGAGGCTTA